ACATAGAAGTAATAGCAATAATGTATGCGTAATTGTATGTGATAAACATATTTTACGTCTGCAGCAAGCAATATTGGAAATATTCAACAACCTGCAAAATTTACGGGATCGTATGATAAAGGAAGGTAAATCTGGTGAAGGCGAGGGTTTGAACCAACACGAGCTAATGATCTTCAATGTAGCGGACTGGGCAGCTACGGAAGTCGCACAATTGGTGCGCAACTGCAACCCCGCTGCGGAGGGCGCGGGCGAAATTATCAAAGCAATTGCGCCTATTGGTATGTACCCTTAATTGTAGATTTACATAAACAAATAGTTGAAATAAACTAACTCTAGAATGTGCGTTGAAATGTATTTTAACCAAAGTATGCTTAAATTAAACTTATCTTTTTATATTTTGATGCTTGCTTTGTAAGTATGGATGGTTTGTGTTAAAGAGCACATGCGTAAAGAGGGAGTGAATTCAGATATAATGGCTAATTAGAAAGGCATGAAATAGTAGTACATAAGTATGACCGACCCTCCGTAGAAACAAGGGATGATGACAATATTTTGATGCATATTATTCTTATAATTTATTCATTTTGGTTTGCTTTTAGACGATGATATTTTAACCGAGTGGGATAAAAGGGTGTTGAATTTACCCGGAAACTTTGCCGACTTATGTTTACAAGCATTCACCGCACGCCAAGAGGTTATAGATTGGGTCAAAGAAATAATAGCAAACGTAAGTGTTTTAAACATTTTGATTACTTTCAAGACAAGATGAGACGTTATTGATTGAATAATTAGAGCATATTTTAAACACAATCTCGATTAAATATATTTTAGTGACATTACTTATATTTTGGTAATATAAATTCAACAGCAAGAGACAATAAACGAAGAGGACTTGAGCCGCATAACTATCTACAACAAGCAGGGGCTTGATCTGTGCGAACAACTTGGCGACCTTAAGACCCAAGCTGATGCTTCCTTGCAGGGGATTACGCAACTATTAAAGTAATCTATTATTTTTATTTAACTTATTCTACTGAACGTAAGCCATTCTGTTATTTTTCTTAGACTTTTGTCAAAAATATTTCAACGCTTTTACGTGATCAATTTATCAACATCCACAATTTTTTATTACAGTTTTGATATAAGAATGACAATTTTTAAGATGAAAATATGTAGTCATTTAAGAAAAGTGGTATTTTTATAGACGTGCATGCCAAGAACGTGGACTATTGATAACTGTAGGAGAATCACTGGTGAAGCAAATTGCCCGTCTACGGCAAGACATCACAGTTAACGCCGCCATAGCCATGGAGATCAATACTGCTAATTCTACTGGAACAGAATTAGCTAAAGCGCTAGAGGTATATCAATCATTTAAAGTACCCTTAATTCTCAAAATATCTTTAAAAGAAATGGGTCCCAAAGTGTACGAAAATATTTAATTTCATGGATGGCAAACGAGCAAGCGGCCACCTGAAATCGCTGAAATAGCGAAGTGACCGTTGCCCATAGACATACGCAATTGCATATGCGTTGCCTACCTTTAAACCTATAGATTTACCTTTTGTTGCCTAAAAGGTAGATTTTTTAGACTGAGGTGTGATTCGACTTGATATTCCCCGAAGTCTTATATAAGTAATTAGTCTTTTTAAGTACTGGTTATTGACTGTAACCTTTGTATCAGGATACTCGTTTCGAGCTAGAAGAGGAACGTGCTTCTAAAACGATTCTTAAAGACAAGCTAGCGACCGCGGAGTCGCAGCTGCGCCAGACGCGTTTAAGAGTTAACAAAATGGACCGGCAGCTACGGGAAGCAGAAGCTAGTATAGCTAGTCTTACAATGACAGTAAAGTCACTGGAAGACCAGGTACGATTTATTTAACTACCCATGCCCGGAGCCCAATACAGGCAGAAATTACTAATTCCTTCAGTCCATAGAGGCCATGACTTTTTCATTTCATTTCCTTGCAAACTTTGATTTCTTATTTCTGTTTTTTTTTGTGAAAATGCTAGAGTCGCCAAAAAGAAGTACAGCTAGAGGCACGTGCAAGAAAGTTAAAGGAATCTCTGAAGACCGGGGAGATGACAAACAATCACGTAGTACAACAGCGTGACGCCCTGCAGACAGAGTAAGGACTTTTAAATTTGTTTTACTTATCATAGCTGTTTTAACGTTTATATATTATAAAAATACTTTTAAATTTTTTAAAGAATCGTATCTTACACACAGCTTATTAAATTAGTTGTGACTTGAAAATGTGTGAGACAATATAATAGGTATCTATTATAGTAAATTACATAACACTGCAATTGGTTTTTAGGTTAAATGAAATGAAAGAACAATTGCAAAGAAATGTCTCGGATAGCCAAAATACGGTACAGGAATTGAATAATAAAATCAAAGAACTTAAATCTACTCTCGAAGAAGAGAGAAGGAGGAAGCAAGAAGAAGCGGAAATGAAGATAATGTTCGAAGATTCTTATAGAGAAAGCTTGAATACTATTGAAGAATTAAAAATGCAAATAGCTGAACTTGAAAGTAACAAACCAAACCCAGGTAAAAATCTTATATAACCAATAAACTTGTAAATTATCTGTCACTTTACAATCACGTATTTTTAATTCTCAGGGTATCTATTATTCCAAAAGTGATTATTCTGTATTTCTTTGTAGATCTTCCAACTGAAAGGGAAATGGAATTAAGAGCAGATCTTATCGCAACGAAGGACACATTACGTGCGACAGAAGAAGAAATTATTGCGTGCAAACGTGAAAAAGTCCGCTTTTTGGAAACTCTCACAAAAATCACTGTGATTATATACTTTGACTATTTAAAAAAATATGCTTAAACTGTCGTAGGAGTAAAGTAAACATTGAAATCCATAACATAGAAACTTTTTCTTTTCAGTCCTATATACCAGACTCGTTCTTTGATCAATCTCGTGAAGGTGAAAATTGTTTATACATTTTGCAATTTGATATACGTTCATATATTTTTATAGGAATCTGATAACAAAATGGGAATGCAACAGAAACTGGCGGGCGAGCTACTAAGCAAGGAAGAACTTATTAGCAAGATGCAATCACAAATTAGAGAATTGACGAAAAATATAAAATTAAAGTAGGTGTCATTTAAAGTAGTTTTCATTGGATAAATTATATGCTCAATATTGTTTACATTAGCATTTTATGCATTATTATTATTTTCAGTGAACAAAAAGTTTTACAATATGAGCAATATGTACGAGATATGCAAACATGCGTCCCAGTTTCATCAAATGGACAAGATCCATCTAGTAGTGCTGCATATCAAGAATTACAGCAAGAGGTAATTTTCATCAAAATAAAACCCGCGTCTTATGTTAATACAATTAGATCATAATTTAGGATTCAGAAAATCATTACTCTACTTTGATATTTCAGATAATGAATCTTAGGATGGGACTCCTAGAAGCAGTTCACAGAAACGAGGAGTTAACGGAAATGTTGATGCAAAAAGAACAACAGTTGGAACAGCAGGATAAGACATCACGTGCCCAGGCAAGGGTCATCAAGGTCCATCATAATATTTGATTTTCTTTTAATTATAAAAAATGCTATATGTATTAACTAGGAGTTATATGCTAAGTTCAGGGTGTGTACGTACGTATTTTGTTCTTTTTTGTTATAATATGTTAATATTTTTCACTTCTATCCGTCCTTTTTGTTCACGGTTTTATCATCATTCATTACACTTCTAATGAAATGAAATTTTATAATGCATCACAGTACGATTTTAATTAAATATTATATGCATATGTATACAGGTCCGGGAAGAATTGATCAACATGCTTCAGAATAAAGAGACGGAACAGAGTCGTGAACTGTCCATTCTACAGCAAGATTTAGAACATCGAATGAAAATTGTAGACGAGGTTAGAAGAGCGCATTATTGTTTTTTTGGTTCCGTTTTGTTAGCTTTTGCCGAATTATTTCTGGTATGTCTACAACAGCTATTGTTTATCATTATTTAAAATATATAGTTAAACTAAAGATGTCGAATAATTATTTTGGTTAATCAAAAGTTTGTGGTAAATAAAATGCTTGTGGTATTTCCAGGTAAACAAACAAATAGCTGCAAAGGCGGAAGAAATTCAGGAGTTATTTTCGACGTTAGAGAGCAAACAGCAACAGATACATAGATTGGAGAAAATAGTTTTGGCGCTAGAAGAGCAGCAGCGACGAGCGCAAGCGCAACGTACTCGACACGAAGAGAAAATCGCAGCTCTAGAACATGAGATAGCAGCTGGTGGCATTCGGAGGGAACGGTAACTTTATTTCAAAACATTCATTAAGAAATCAAAAGGAATTTTTCCTCTTGCTCTTGACTGCTAAAATATTTTTTTCTTGATTATTGTCGTTAATGGTCACAATTTATCTTTGTAATAATCCTTTTTATTTTCCTTTTTTCCAGAAAATTTTTGTTCTTTTAAGAATCTTCAAAATTGCGTCATTGTCCAAATTGTCCTCGTGCGTGTGAATCTTGACAAAGTAAAATGTTTTTTGAAATCGTTTTCGTTGTTGGATGTATAAAATAAAAAGTACACTTTACTTCTGTTTTTTAATGGCTTTGGTAGTAGAGCATTACTAAAAAACGAGAAAGAAACTCTAGTCAGTGGAAGAACGATTATTAGGAGAAAGCAAAAAAAAAAAAATTTTGACCTTGCAGATAAAAAAGAGTTTTGAAATTTCACTATTTGACGGTCATTTGACTTTAAAAAAGCATCACAAAATTAAAAGCAATTACTGGTCAACTGGCCGTAAGTATTTATCGTGTCGCTGCTTTTGGCATACTCTGTATCAGTGTCAATGGAGTTTTAAAGCAATCCAAAGTAATGAACATTTTCCAAATAAGATATGACCTAAAGGTCTATGTTACCAGGTCATAAAATTTATAAAAAAAAGTTTTAAAGCTTTGACATAACTGTCAATGTCATTGTCAATTTGGTAACTGTCAACAAGCTTGTAGCAATTTACATAGCCAACAATTTACCAATTTGGTTTATTTGCAAAAAGTGTACTATTTATTAATATTTAAAATAATAAAGTAACTTTAAAGATGTCGGAAAGAAAAGTTTTGAATGTAAGTAAATATATATATCTGGTTACTATTTAAGAGAACAACTGATTTGGACAAACCTTTATAAAGATATAAGTACACAAGATGGTCAGGATCGTCACAAAATCTGTTGATAAATGGATTAATTTGTGAAAAAATCCTTCAAACGATTATGCCATATCATTTTAACATTTTAATGTTATATGTGATTCTTCTGATGGAATGTTTTGGAATGATTTCAGAAATACTATCCCCCGGACTTCGATCCGTCAAAAATTCCTCGCATGAAATTGGCGAAAAATCGTCAGTACACCGTTCGTTTGATGGCACCTTTCAATATGCGCTGTGTCACATGTGGTGAATACATCTATAAAGGAAAGAAGTTCAATGCTCGTAAAGAAGATGTGGAAAATGAAGATTATTTAGGCATTAGGATTTATAGATTTTATATTAAAGTAAGTATTCATGACCAACACGCAACTGCAGTTATGAAACAGTTAAAATAATTAAACTTAAAATTAAACTTGATAAAATGGAGTACAATCACAATTGATTTTTCGAAACTAAAACTTATTACCACCAATTAGAGCATCGGTGACTCAGGGGTTTTAACACTTGACTTGTAATCTTTAGGTCCAATCCCAACAATGTACCAATGTGTTTTTCGATTTCCGATTTACATATGTACATTTATCCGACATTCTAAGGTGAAGGAAAATATTGTGATGCAACCTGCACATATCTGAGAAGAAATTCAAAGATATCTGTGAAGTCAACCAAGGCGCAGCACTGGGCCAGCGTGGTTGACTATGGCCTAATCATCCTTAAATTAGGGTAGGCTCCGAGCCCCTCGGTGGGGACATATAGTGAGCTGATGATGATGAATTAAAGCTTTATGTTCCATACTATTATAATACTGAAATACATATTTTAATTAATAAATATTTCTTATAATTCCAGTGCACTAGATGTCTACAAGAAATATCATTTAAAACAGATCCTAAGAACACAGATTATGAAATAGAGGCAGGTGCAACAAGAAACTTCATGGCGTTGAAACTGGCTGAGGAGCAAGCCAAACGGGAAGAGGAGGAACAGAAAGAAGAAGAGGCAAATAACCCGATGAAACTATTAGGCAAGTTATTATAATGTTAACTTATTAATAAAATACATAACCAGGTTTCAAAATATTTATAAGCTATTTGTTAATAACACAAATAGATGTGTAGGCACAGGATGGCTTTCTAAGTAAGGAATTAGAAAAAGCCTTTTCAAACAATGGACTGACGCAAGTTAATGTAGATCATTGGAACAAACCTCAATTTATCAGATTGACCGTCTTCTCATTGTAATTTATATGAATTGTGTGTCTATATTCTTATCTTAATCTAAACTAGAATGAATTTTGACTAGAATAACAATGTTACCAACATACAAATTACATTTTTCAGAATACAGAACGGAGCAGTCAAGACAAGAGATAGAACTTTTGGAGAGTCTGGAAGATCTAAAAGAATTGAACAGAAGACAACAGTCAGTTGACTATGAGAGTATGTTGAAACAATATAAATCGGAAAGTGTAGAAGAAAGGAAAGCAAGGGAGGAGAGAGAAGATAATGAATTCATTAAGTAAGAACACTTATTTTCTTTTATAAGGATAGATGTATTAATGTTGAAGAAGTAAGAGAGCCATGTTAAGACAGCACCTTTGTGTTACAGGATTGAGTTATGTAGCTGTTGCACTTTTTCCTTTTAAAATTATAATCTTATTTCTTTTATACACTTCATCATTTTACTGTCAGATTTAATTTTTTGACAGCCATTTAATTTATGAAAAAAAATCAAAACTGTGGGACAAATGCTTAATAATGTTTTCTTTAAGTATATTGTTACATTTATAAAGACTCCAATGTATAATTTGATAATTACAGATCTGTAAAATTCAACAATCCAAGTAAACACAAAGTAGTTGCTGAAGAAATCATAGAGGAAGTCCTAGATGATGGTGAACCAGCAACAAAGAATATAAAAAAAGATATACCGCCTACAAAATCAAATGATACAAAAAAGAATGAATCGTGGAACAGAAGTATAGGTGTAACAGCAAGGAAGCCACTGGTTAACCTAGTTAAAAAGAAATCGAGTGAACCAATCCCCAAAAACATAGACAAGGAAAAAGATATCACAGATAAAAAAATACCAGAGACTAAGTCGAGTGTTGTGCCCAGTGTTGCCAGTGGCAGTGGCGGACTTACCCTATTGGCTGGCTATTCAGGCAGTGACAGTGACTCCTGTGAGTGATTTTATGTATATTTTTATATAAAGATTACAATAAATCGTGTTATAATGTTATTCATCTTTGGTAAAGTTTATTTCCTCCATTTAATTATTTTTACCCTGATATTAACATTTTTAAGCAATGAATGATTTTCACATTTGATAACAATTAGAAGAATAGCGCCATCTATTTGAATAAAAGATAATCAATAAGTTTTAACAAATAAATTTTCTACTACTGATTTTTAAACAATGTTTGTCCCTATTTAGTTTACGCCATTTAAAAAAAGCTATTATTATTACTATAAAACACATCCAATTTGTTACTATGTGAGGTTGCAGTATTCAAACTCAAAAGTTATGTTTTCTTGCTAAAATTTATTATGATATTCCTTTACATCATTCCAGGATACAAAAATATACATATAATATAAACATTCTTATTTTATTTCCTTTTGTAATACATCGTGCAATTCTTTACAAACTTATATCCTAATCGACAAAAGGCACTCTTAGTTGTCCATTTTGGATAAAGTATTAACCATTTTTGTGATTGTAAAGCTTGTATTAGGGACTGTCATAGTTAATAGAAAAATATATACAAAAATAAACCAAAGGGCACAGATACCAATTTACGTGATTTAGTTACGTCGGGCGCGTAAAAAAACCGATTATAAGTGACGTCATTGATGTAGCGACAATCGGCTTAGGACGCATTGGCCGCGCCCTTTGTTGTCAGCCCTTCCATTTGTTATGGTGTCAAGTGTATTCACGCAACAAGATTATTGGCACATTCTTTTTTATATAATACTAATTTATTTCTTATTACTGTCAATCATAAAATAGTAGTCTTCTAAGTTCTAATTATTTTATCAATGCCGATTTGAGTTGAATAATAAAATTCTCAGGTTATTTTTGAGAACGTCTAAATTATTTCATTTGTCTATTCGAAAATAGCGCCACATCTAGTTATGAAGATTAGTTTTTGGCGATATTTTTCTGTAAAAATACACAAATTGTGTTTTGTTTTTAACTATCTTTGTCTTATAACAATAAAGTGAATCGTTCTTAATTCTGTGGCCAGATATGAGAGGAAACTTTTATGTCATATGTATTATCTGTATAGTAGAGATAAAGAAACTTGTTGTTACAGAATTGAATAACAATAACAAGCGGCTTAGCCCTAAACATGAACCAGATCAAAATGTACTAACCAGCGAATACACGTGAGTGATATTTATTTTACACTAACTATTTCACTTCGAAAACATATTCTGTAGTGTATAATTCCGGTTTGTTGTTTCAACTTGATAAATGATTTTATCTAAACTTTAATCATAGGCATCACTTTGCTAAGCATCTACCTTAATTAGTTTCGTCAAGTGGTCTATTTAGTAAGCGGTTCGTTTTTCTCGTACGTTTGTAAACGTGTGTGCGGCCACGCCCAGCGACCGTCAAATTACATAACAAATTAATATTTTCCCCCGGAGATGGTACCTGCGGATTCCTGCAAATCGGGATCCAAACAAAAAGCTCCATAACACCGCTTTCGAGATAAATAACCGAGTCGTATCCCGGGATTTTTTCGTCGACATAAATATAATTTTTTTGGGGACGATGTAACGGCTCTGAGCCGACACGTCTGCGCTCGGTTCTGGGAAGCGGTGTCCGCGGCGCCGCCGCCCGGCCGGGGCTGCCGCGCTCTGCCGATAAATAAAAGGCTGCTTGGGAAATATTATGTTACATTGAGGGTGTTTTTTGATCGAGTGCGTGCGGCGGGCGGCGGGCGGTGGCGGCGCGGTGGTCGCAGGCTTTGGCCACTCGAGCCTCGCTAATGAACCAGATAGGCCGCCATATGTACTTTCAGTTTTTCGCAATAATGTAAATATTTTTTCTATGTAATGTAAACAGCGGCCTTATAGCCTTTAACAGTTCTTAGTAATCCGCCCTTAACTCGATTCCTTGCTGTGAAAATATTTATTGATTGTTTTATGATAACAAACTTTTCATCCCGATTGCCTAATACCACTCTCACATTAAAACCTAATATACAGGGTAGTAAATAAAGAAATCCTCTTTGCAAAGCTTTCTTTTTAATCTGTGGTAACACGCTTTGATCAGTGGGGTTTTGGGTTGTTATGTTTTCATGTCGTGCCTCCGCCTTTGTCTCTATCTTTACGAATCTTATGTTGAGACAATAAAAGATATCGGTCTCCCGTGGCCTTTCCTCGTGTCTTGGTTAAGGTGATATTTTCGCATCATTTGTTACTTGCGGTATAAGTGTAACAAAAGATAAAAGATGAGTAAGAATCTTTATCTCTTGTAAAAATAATGGATACACTCAAAGACTTGTAAAAGTATCGGATTCCTGCGGAGCGAGCGCCATGCTTTTACTTGTTTATCTTTACAGGTATTTAGAGAATTTGCTGCATTGAAAAATTACTCAGCTCGTGTAACATGTAACTTTATATTATTAATATACTTGATTATTATTTGAATTTTTATTCGTCATATCTTTATATATATAATTCTTCTGTGAGTGTGTATGTCACTGAACTTCTCTCAAACGACTGGACCGATTTTGATGATTTTTTTTGTGTGTGTTCAAGGGGATCTGGGAATGGTTTAGATTCACAATTTTCATCAAATATTAACTTCATATTAATTTATTCAAATTAAAGACGTGTAGACAGGACAACGTCTGTCGGGTCAGCTAGTAAAGTATAAAATATCTTCTCGTTTCTACGGCTCAAGGTCCATCTCGGGATATGTATAGTCCATGATTAAGTTAACGTGAACAATTTTCTTTTTCGTTCTAACATAAAAGATAAAAGATAAAGATATTTACACGTACCCTTATTAATAACATTTAAGTATATATCCGTGGCAATTTAAGGAAAAATTAAAACAGAAAAAAAAGTGAAATTGTTAGTAGAGTTAGAAATTCTTACTGTTTCATTCAACTTTTTTTTTCGTTTAGACATATTTTTTTAAATTATATTTTGGTTGTTTGCTTATTTATCCTAGATTTAAATATTGGTTATTATAAAATGTTCTGTTAAAAAAGTTAGTGACATTTTGAGCCCTTTGACCATTACCCCAAATAACTCTGCCTTATTTCGACATTCCCAAGTTGTTGAGTTTTTTCCATTTACTAGCTTCGGAAATATACACGTCTAATGAGCTGACCTTACAAAGTAATAAGTTCCCGTGTTTAATTATTTGTCTTCCCAAAATTCTTTTATTCACGCGTAGAAATATTTCTTAATAATCTTTATTGTGATACTTACAGCCTATATTTAACTTTAGCTACTCTAAGAAACCTACAATGTTGCCAGATAATTAATGTGTTGTGGGAAGAGTAGAAAAATAATTTCACGCGTTCTACTTCAATTGATGTGACATTTATAGTAGTTGTTCGCGCATTACTCTTGCCGTTCCAAGTTAAATATGGTTTTATGTTAATACGTGACATACGACTACATTACAAGTTCCAATTGACTCTGAGATCGGAGATCTGGTCTAATTGACACGATCGCAATGTCTTGATGTCATGTCGTAAATATAAATGGTACTATTTATCGATACAAATTAGTTAAATTGCAGTGTTTGTATATAATGTAATGTAATGTCGAGAAAGAAATCTTATTTGCGTTGCTGTTAACGAAAACATTTTTTTTAAATTTTTATCTGTATGTCTCCAAGGCCGCCTTTTTTCCAGGTTATCTCTGGAACAGCTGGACCCATTTTTGTCGGGAAGGTAGCTGATGCAGGCTGGCATATTTTAGGCTACTTTTTTAAATTTTGCCCTGACAAAGTCGCGAGCGACTGCTTGTCTTTTACATATTCTAAATATGAGTACAATTAAATCATTACTCAGACTCTAAAACAGACATAACAGTTGTGATTTTTATATATTTAATGATTTTCTTTCTTACAAAGTGTGTTAAAATAAAGTATATTGAACAATAAATCTATCTGAAGCTATCAGTTTGCAATAAGAGCACGTAATGGTTTTGTAGCGCCTTAAATTTTTCTGTCGTACGCAGAACATTTATTGGACAATTGTGTCTACCGGATGCCGCACTGTAGCCCACATGATTGATTAAAAAGCCGCAAGTTATTCATCCCACAATAAATAAAGTTGTTAATGGAAGGCGGCTCGCTAGTAATTGGACCTTAAAATTCCTCCTTATACACCCACACTACTACACCCCAGTAAGGGTGACCAGGAGTTGAAAGCGTTATTTAGGATATTAAATAGGGTTATATAGACAAATAAGTCCAAAGCAAGTTAGATGGTGTGTAGTGTCTTTATATTCAATGAACTGCTTTTTATAGCAATACGTGACAAACGAGCAAGTGATAATTTGAATGCCCCAAAATAGCGATGTGGCTATATCATAGTTTTAGATGTTATTAATCAGAATCCTTTGGCGCGTAAGGCACGCTTTCATTACAAAGTCAAGTGTCAGAATGATTAGTGAGGGGGCATTAACGTAGACATTTTAGCAAGGCTAGTGTTGCCATTACACTACCACAGTGTGAGATTTTCTTCTTAACAATAGACATTTACAATAAGTTAAAATTGATTCCGGGAAAAACATAAATCGTGGTGTCCCTAATCCCGGAGAACAGCTCTCTCAATCCTTTAGATAGCAAGGAATCTTTGTATGAGGGTAGACCGGTATCTTTCACACAATACATACCGATCCCTCTCTTAATGATTTTTTTATTTATACTCGTTTTACTCTGTACCATTAGGCAATTTACCACGGAGATTACCTAATGACATTGTATAAAATTTAATTACACGGAATTATTTAGGATATACCAAATAATTTATAGCTTGTTAGCATTGTTACAGTTTTTTTGGTACATAGTTGACATTAAGTGGAAGTTCGCAGGTTATAAACCAAAATATAAATGTGAACTCTAATTTTGTCTAGATACTAGATAATAGATCATGGCCGTGTAGCCTTGGTCATGAGTTTTATCAATAAAGTCCTTCGATACTGTCAAAGTTCAAGGCCAAGGAATTTGAGTCGTCAAAATACTTCAAGTTTCAACTTAGTATTTAACTTTACAGTACTCACAGTCGTTAAATGATTACCTAAGCGGTCCCATAGTTAGATTTTCTCACACTAAATGTATACTTATTGGTTGCTGAAGCAATGAACGTGGTAGTAAATATATTAATTACAATTTAGTAAACTTTCTTCGTCTACAAGTAACAATTACCATATATAAAACTCAACCCAATATACGCTGAAACTTCACAGGAATGCGCTCACACATTAAACGCGATGTATGAATAGCGCCGTTCTATGTGTGCGTGTGTTAGGTGCGTGTGCGCAGGAGGGTCACGCACACACACACACAGAAGACGCTCCATTCATAATTTTAACAACCACTCATTACTCGGCCTGTGAAAGGAACGGGAAACACTCTTGAGCTTGGAATTTATTAAATTTTTCGATATAAAAATTCTAGTGAATAGCATTTTTGTTTGTTTCGAGACGCGACTATTTTATATGTTACGTACATTGAATTGTATATTCACATTCATATTGATAAAGATACCTTATATTTACTATAATTTTAGTAAGAAGTCTTAAAGTGAACAAAGTATCCAATTATAACTTTAAAGATGGCAGTTAAGTTAAATTTATTTCAAATATCTTCAAAATTTGTATGTAAATTAATTATAAAACGTTTTTAGAAACAATAACGCAATGCTTTATAGTTCAAGTAATACATTTTTATTTCTTTTTGTTGTAGTATAATAATAATGCTAAAATTCTCAAGTTGCATATCTGAAGAGATGCCACACAACGCGTAGGTCTTAAGGTGTGTGGCATTCATCATTGTTTTGAAGGTAAGAATGCAATGATTAAGCTTAAAATCTTACGTTCAATGGACCCCTATCATAGCTATAAGTAATTCTAGCGGCGTTTCTGTAGGGAATAGGAACAAATGAATTTTGTCCACGTATTATTGTCGTAATTACAGTGTGGTATGAATGAAAATCATGGCATTAAATGAGAAATTATAAAAGAATGTTTAATAAAATTTGTTACAAAAGATTTTTATGATATCGATGCTTAAGTTTGTCTTTACTTTTATGTTTTTTCTTACGTACGGCCTTTAATATTGTCACGAAAGACCAATGAAGAACTTTCTTGTATGTAAAACGAGGAACGCCTTGATGGTCGGAATGAAAAAA